AAATATTCTAGAGATGACACGTAGATTTTTATTCAAGAAAGACAAGATTGGCCTCAATAAATGGGCAGGATTCTCATATATGCACAAACGCAGCTCACATCCTTGAAGGTCCAAGCAACTGAATACGATTGGCCACAGCTCACCTGCCCTTGGAAAGGAAAAGTCAAAGCATTAAAGATAAGGATTAATTACCCAAATCCTATCTTTAATACATTCCCAATTGAAGATTCTAATCAAGTAAGTAATCCCAATTTAAATAAATTAGGGATAATTACACCATTATCTCAAGATATTATTTCCTATTTAATATCTCGAGAATATTTTGAGAATATTTCTCCATAAACACCTTGGCCAATAGGATGCCACCACGTGTACGGTAAAACCCTAACATTGTGGCCGGCTCTATCCCTCTAAATACCCCATATTCTACCAAATTTTCAAAACTTTTGCTACCCCTAAAAAGCTCTAAACACTTTACTCTCTAAGAGAAACTGACTTAGGCATCGAAGATCCATTGGCCTAGCCCCCCCACCTCGTGGGCCCATGAGGCTTAGGTCTTTGATCAAAGGTGTTGATTGTTTTGCAGGTGCATTTTCGTCAAGACTGAAGATGACGGAAATTTGCATTGACATATACCACATATGTTGGACCAAATTTGGGCGTATCGGAGTTGGTTAGAGTAGTGTGCTTCTGTCTATATACAAGTTTGAGTTCTTCTCTTTATAGTTTAGATTTTGTTCAAATGTACTGCATGTTGGATTATTCATGCATATCAGAGCATCTTCAATGGGGCCTATGAATAAGCTCCAAGCTAGAATTAGAGAAAAGTTGGAAGCATTCATCTCTAATCACACTCCTTAACTTGGTTTTTAGTCTTTTTAGCTAAAATTTAACTTAGCTAGATTTAGTAGACTTTTACTGACTATTATAAACTCAATAAAAATCCGTATATAGACTTTTAATGATATACTTTTGTATAAAATAAACGAGTTAAATGATAGACTTTCGCAGAATATTAGAGTTCAATAGAAAATTTTAGAATAAGTGGATTGTCGTGAATTTTTTAATGACAATTTATTAATAAGCATTATTTTTAGTATTCATTATTGAAATGGTAAAGATGTTGGGGGCGGTGGTGATGGGGTGGTAATAATAGTGGTAAAGGTGGCAATCATGGTGATGGTGGTAAATGTGGCAATCATCGTAGGGTTGGCAATGATGCTCATGGCAATATGGTGGCAGCGGCTACGATGACAATGTTGGCAATGGGAATGAAGGAGATGTTCATGGAAAGGTGGCGGTGACAACATGGTGTTGAAGTGGTGGGAATGATAATTGTTGTATTTTGATGGATGGTGGAGTATATCCTCAGAAAATTGAGAAAAATAAAAGCCATCAAAATCTTAAGGGGAGGTTGGATTTGTTAGGATAAAAGAACTTACCTTAAAAGCACACGAAGTCCATCAAAATCCATGACTTATTAAAATTCTTTAAAATAATTGAAATTATAAATACACCTTATTTTTGTAGATTCACAAAAAAATCATAAATTGAATACCACTAGATTTTCATAGACTTGTTAGAAGTCATAAAAAAGTCTTTTTACAAGACACGTAACTATTGTTGACTCCTTAAAAAGTTTATATTGAATACATTTGAATTTGAGAATCAACCAAAGCCTGTCAATTTTTATATGCAATACACCCTCTTTAGAGGGAGTGAAATTTGCTCTAAGAGCCTGTGTAATGAGCTCTATAAATGAGCTTACAAGTTAAAATATATTAAAGAATTCAGTTAATCACACTCCCTATCTACGTTTTAACCAAAAAAAGTACTGTTTATGATCAGTGCACCTATGGGTGAGAAGATATTCTTTCATGTTCTCAGTACTAGTCCTAGTGATGTCACCTTCAATAATAACTTGTGACGTGTTTAAAAAAGTGTTTTATTGATAAAATAACTGTGCAATTTGCTGAAATGGTCCAACTGATTTGGCATAAGCTTGGTTTTTATAAATCTATTCTCCATTTTAATACCCATGGAGTGGAGTGCATGGCTGCAGCATGCATGCATTTGTTACTCCTTTGAGGTCAGATTCAGACAAACAATGACGATGCATGCATCTTAATTCATGGCACTATATATCAACATCACAAAATATCTCCATAAACTCTACCCGGCCGTCTATTGTTTGGCAGCATATACAATATATTTATCTAGTAGTTAGGCTAATTGAACATCTTATTCTCATGGCAATACAAGTAGCATTTTATTTTTATTAGTACGACAAATCGATAAGTTGGAAAGTGTATCCTGTAGGACCAGTACAGTACAAATGTTATAAGAGAATCTGTATAGGATCCTAAATGGGTTAGGTTTTATAAATTCTTGTGGACTTAGGTTAACTTGTACTCCAAGTCAATTGACTTGTATATATATTTGTAATATTGTGAAAGTCAATTCAATCAAGACAATTACAATTCAATATGGTATCAATCGTTTAGGTTTCCCCTTCCTGTTACACTCCTAGTTTTTCTCTAAATTCCCTAACCCCAGACCGTTCCCCCTATTCCCTTCCTTGCCGTAACCCTTTTTCTCCCATGGCCATTCAACCTTCTTCCTCATCTACCATCACTGGACCTTCTCTCCAGTCCTAATGTTGCTCACTTTCTCAAACTCACTGACTTCAACTACATCCATTGGCTTAGTTAGACGAAGCCGTTTCTTCTGGGTAACAACTTATTTGGTTACGTGGATGGCTCCATTCCGATGTTCTCACCAAAGGTGTTTCCAAGCCTCTCTTTCAGCTCTTACGTTCCAAACTTGTCACTTCGAGACCACCAAGTTTGCAGGGGGCTGTTAATATAGGAGAATCTATATAAGATCCTAAATGAGTTAGGTTTTATAAATTCCTGTGGGCTTATGTTTACTTGTACTCGAAGTTAATTGACTTATATATATATATATATATATATATATATATATATATATATATTATTGTGAATCAATTCAATCAAGATAATTTCAATTCAATAACAAACACGAAACAGGAACTTGTATGGACAATGAGAAATCACGCGAGTAAAACTACACATCAAAGTTCGGTTATCGGCCAAAAAACGTAGAAGCATTTAGAAGATAAAAATTGAGAACCAAACATTTGGGCTTGTTCATCATATGTAGGCAAATAGTAGGGCCATGCATATTTTGGGCTCCAGCTGCGACATTCGTTTGGACTCTCTTTTCTTTTGTTCGTTTGTTTCTGATATAAGTGTTATCGTGAAATAGGATTTCGGATTTCATGTGTGCAAGTAAATACCCTTAGCTATTGTGATAGAAGCCAATTTCAGCATTTTTGCATCCACTGATAAAATCTCACCATGTGTCTCACTCTAATCGGAAAAATCTGAAAAAAAAATTACCTTTCTCATGTCCGCCATAGAAGCATACAATTTTTGGTTCAAAGGTAATCAATACAAATGTTCATCAAGTTCACTAATAATTGTGCCTATGCAGAATGAGAGAATTTTATGAAATAGATTTACTGTCATTGGGACGTCCCGCCACTTATACATGATATAGGAAAATAGTGTTATACATGATCTAGTACTCTTAGCCCTAGATATCATATTAATGATGAACTCATTCAATATAAGTTCTTTCGCAGCACATTTACCCTGCAGTGAAAAGTTTCATTAACCCTCTTGCTGTCTGATACTGCATACGCTTGATATTGAGTCCCACTCATTCATTCAATGTCCTCAAGATTTGGCCAATCGAGTAAATCATAGAGTGACCACTTAGAGTGACCACTTCTTTTTCTTTTTTCCCTTCGGCTTTCACTGCCACTTGGTCTCCAATTATAAAGCCATGGGCCCTGGCCAACATGCCTAGTTTAATTTTGAAATGTTGATGTATTAGGTGTCAATTTTAACCTATAACTTGCTGACGTTTAATTGTACCACAAAATTAACTGGTTATAAAAGACCGATGTGACTAGCAAAAACTGATTGTTCTTTTCGAGAAGAAATCCTCTTTGGTTTTCTTCCACCAAGGTCAACGGATCACGTGATCAGAACTTTTGAAATTTTATCCAACGGTTAAAAATTATCATGGTTTTTAAGAAGTCAAAATAGGTGGACCGTTAGATGAAATTTCAAAGGTCCGAATCATTTGATTTGATGACCTTGGTGGAAAAGATCCGGAGAGGATCTCTTCTCAACTTCGGCTTTCACTATTCCTTCTTCTCTATTTATAAAGCTATGGACCCTGGCTGACATGCCAAGTATAGTCATGAATTGTTGATGCATTTGGTGCCAATTTTAACTTATAATCCGATGATGTTTAGTTGTACCAAAAAACTATTAACATGTTATAAAAGATCGATGCAACGGGCAAATATCGACTTTTTTTTCTATTAAGTATGATACAAATTTTTCAATAATGATCCGATTGAGTTTGGTCAGTAAAGAAAAATCACATGAAATCTTAATTGTATTAACTCACTTTGCCTTGCACTTGTCAACATGTAATTAATTCAAATGAAATTAAGTACTTCAGTGTCTGAGATTTTTGACATTGCTAAATGTTTTACTGAATTTGATTGAGATAGTAAATCTGCAGATAATCTTGTTTAATTTTTTTTTTATCAGAACATGTTGGCAGGAAGCTCCATATCATATTACATCTTCTAAAGTCAAACCTGCTTTTCTATTATTTTTGTATGATTAATCAGAATGGTATCAATTCCACTATGATTTTCTGCAATTCTTTAATTTCCAGCAGCAGCAATGCAGCCATACAGAATACAGAAAAGAAGGATCTTTTCTGGTTCTGCATATTTTAATGCCATATACTTCTCCTTTAATCATAACCACTTGTGAAAAATAAATAGGTTATAAATAATTCAAAAATAAAGATGAGGTGAATGGTCCAATCCATTGGTCCCTATAGACAGACAGATTCCATTTAATTATTTTTGGATGATAGAAATGCTATGAACTGGAACTTGGATTTTTGGCATTATGCCAAATTAACAACAAAACAAACATTGCAGACATGAGCGTAATCACATTGGCTATAGACTAGATATAGATGCTACATGGTTCTCATCCTTCAAAAATTACATGTAATAGGAGCATCCGTCAACAAAAGGATCACCCTAAGATGATTAACTCATGGTTCTATTTCTCAATCGTTACATACTCAAAACATGAATCTCGCTCTTTGCAGAGTAGAATGTCGTTGGTATGAAAAAAATAAAAATAAAAACAATCATAACAACTTCAATGGAAGCAACCATATTACAACTTCCATTTTGAGTTTTGTACTTCTTTTATTCCTCTTCCCTTGTTTAACTCGTCCACCGTAAGTTGCTTACAGATTTACAAAGAGCCAACCCCAAAAGTATAACTGTAATTAGCCCTTTTGGTTTTAATCAAAAGTTTCCCATTTTGTTGTAACCGCAACAGACTCAGAATTCTTCTGTTGTTGCTGCTGCATCACTGGATTTTTTCGTACTGAATTTTCTAGCTTCCAATGCACGCGCTGTTTCTGCGTCGGTTTTGAGTCCTTTGGCATGTGGCCAGTTGGATTTTCTTGTTGCTGCAATTTGATTTTTGCCCCATTGCCGCTTGATTTGGAGCTCTGATGCTTCAACATGTCCAGAATTTCTATGTACTTCTGAACTCTTGTCACCTTCAAGTTCATAAACCAACAATTAGAATAGTACCAACAATGTGCAAGTAAAAGACATTTAAAACGTACATAAGTCTATAATACCTGCACTCTTCTCTGCAATTTTAGATGGCCGGCGGCAACAATTCCATCCAGTTTAATCAACTTCATCATCAGAAGCTCAGTCAAATTCTCCACATCCGTCTCGGAAACTTTCCCACCTGTAGAAGCTGTTGTTTCCAACGCTGTGACCTATTTACAACAGAAACAAAATTAATAAAAACAATTCAGTAGATATCGGTTAGGCCAGTTCGTCATTGCAGCCTTGCGTCCAAGTTCGAATTCCTTTCCCGGCATATTAAAATATGATTCATTTTAATTACCTGGCCTGCAAGCTTGTCCACTTCCAAGTTGATTTCGGCTAAGGATTTCGAAGATTTCTCTGCGTTTGAATTTCTGAGCAACTCTAGGCACCTTTTTTCTCTGCCTAAAATGTCCTCCACCAGCACGATCTTTGATCCTTGTTTAACTCTTGCCACATCAAGATACTCTTTGGAGTCCCTCTCTTTCTTTTTGTATATCAGCTTCTGATCCAGATGGTGCAACTTCGTTCGCTCTGCCAACATTTTCTTCAATTCCCCTGCAAATTCGAAAACCAAATTCAATTAACAAAACAATTTAATTGTTTCTTTCCAATCAAAAAACCAAAACAAAAGTTGGATTTGAAATTTTGGCGTAGTACCAAAGCTTGCTTGGGAGTTGATTTGAATTTCGTGGCACGAAGAGCCATGCTTGACTCTAACTTTGATTGTGGGGATTGAAACAGCACTAGGATTTGTCTCATCGGTTCGTTTTTGCACCAGCATTCCCCCTGGCCTGATTTCCAAGTCTGCGCTATCGGGACCTCCGCTGCCATCGTCAACAGAGCGATTACTTTCCGAAGAAAACATTTTGTTCTTCTTTGAATTCACGGCTCGATCTATAATCTATTTCTTGATCCTCTTAGGCTAAAAGACCAATAAAAAAGAAAACTACTTGAACAAGGAACCTCAAGAGAAGCTGAGAGTTTTCGTTCGATGTTCTTTGCCTGGATTCAAAGTAACCCAATAGAGAAGAAAGAACCTTTCGATCCCTACGGTCGTATCAAAGAAAACCCAATTGTGAGAGAATTAAGAAGAAATGATGCAAAACCAAAACAACAGTTTCAAGTAATACAAACAGCCTTTTTTCTATCAACGAGAATAGCAAAAGGGAATAGAGGATTAGGCGAGAAGAACTACAGACTAAGTGAGACGAGTGACGAAAACATGATCAAAACTTTATCTAAGTGAGAGAGAAGCGGAGTGGAAATTGAGATCTACTCAAAGCTATATAGAAAACAAAGGAAAACGGGAAAGAAAAAGGAGTGAGAACTAATGGCCAGCAGAGAAAGTGAAGCGAGTGAAGGGAATAAATCCATCTGATAAATATACAAAGAAAGAAAAAGAGGGGGGAAAAGGGAAATCCGCATCAGTTTACGTGACGAGAGGGACAAAAGAAAAAGAGGAAAATATTTCGATTTTAAGGTAAAACAAAACCAAAAATGGCAAATAACAATAAGCATTTTACATGCAGTATTCAGACCTTTTAACCCTTTTTTACTTCTTGTTCAAGATTGTCGTTATGTGTGTTGATGTAAACTCACAATCCAACACCAAAACAAAAGAAATTAATGTAAGAAAAGATTATACGATACGGCTATCTATTTCTTTTCTTAAAGCAACTTATATGATACTTGTACATACATTTTGATTTTTGTGCTAATAATAGGGTTATGTACTTTGATCAACTGTGTAAGCACTAGCACGCTAGCATGCGTATTCTTCCTCTATTTGTGGGCAAGACTTTATCCAAATCTATGGATCTCCCCAGCATCAAAGTGAGACCCATCAAAATCTACCACTTGTTGGGCGAGACCTTCTTTTCTATAACCACCCCACCATTGAATGATGAACTTTGTCAGTCTTCGCCTTCGATCCGACCAGGGGAGGACACACGACACACTGTTCAATGATTTCAACACATAATCCAACATACTTGTATCTTCAGTATGTAGCCGAGCACAAAGACATGTGCAAAGTTAGTGATTTCAACACATAATTCAACATGCTTGTATTTCCAATATGTAGCCGAGCACAAAGCTCTGTGCAAAAAAATACACATCTTTACATCATTAATACAGAACGGCACGATAACAATAAATCCATGACATAAAAATTCTTCTCGCCTGTCACATAATTGAAAGAGGAAAGCAACATAGAATTGAAAAGCAGAACACGTCAAGGAAAACTTAGCAGAAAGAAAATTTCAGCCAGTTGGCACCTGTCTGGTTGCCTAAACGTGGTTGGTTCTGAGGGACAATACTGTCATTGTTCAATAGAAAATAATTGGTTTTTATTGTATGAAGCAAAAAATTATTATATTTTATAGAAGGCGAGTTGCAGACGTGCATGGTTGAATTTGATATAATAACAATATTGTCATCTGTCATTTGCGCGGACCTGTCTTTTCTGCTCTCCCAGTTTCCATATACTTTTATCCTTTTTTATTTGTGTGGTTACGGTTAAGGCACGTCAACAGTTTATATTACTATTGTTTATCTTATTATCTCTATTAAAAAAATTAATATAAAATGATAACGTGACTTAACTATGACCGTGCAAAATAAAAAAGGATGGAAGTGTATGGGAACTAGGAGGACGAAGAAGCCGGATCCCATTTGCACACCAAAGCCGTCTCTGCAATCTCATTGGTTAACACATCTATTCTAATTTAAAACCTTCAGGGCCAAAAACAAAGAAAGTGTCTTTAACTAGATGTAAATTCTATTGTTATATCTTGATCATTGAATCTTTAAATAAGGATTTGCCGGCAAAATTCGTCTATAAAATACACGGGAGCATAATAAGAGTTTTAAAAGAAAATCATAGCAATGGTCTCTTAACTTTAACCCAATTAGAGCAATGGTCTCTCTACTTTAACATAATTAGAGCAATAGTCTCTCTACTTTAACCTAATTAGAGTAATGATTCATCAACTAAAAATTCATAACTATTAGTCCTTTAATTGGTCAAAACGTGCATCTATAGTCATTTTCGTCAACTGTTAAAACTTCCGTCAAAATGATTCACCACACACATGAGACTGAATCAAGAAGCAAATATGGGAAACTAAATGAGAAAATTATAGAAATGGTTCCCCAACTTTAACTCAATTGAAGAAGTGATCTCTTAACTTTAACCCAATTGTAGCAATAATTATTCCAACATAACTCGTTTTGACGGAAATTCTAACAAATTTGACAAAAAAAACCATAGTTGCACATTTTGAGAAGTTAAGATACCAATGGTCATAGTTATTTAGTTATAAGACGATTGCTCCAATTAAGTTAAAATTGAAGAATCTTTACTATTATTTAATTGAATGTGGAAAACAAATTTTTTGGTTGTCGATTCGAGTTCTACTCACCATTTTCCGACAAAAATACCCCTCAGGATCAACAAAAGTTCGACTCTAAAACCGACATCGGTGCGTTATGCAATTATACATCAAACCTATGTCCTCCAAATTGTCTCTCAAGTAACATCTGTTTGGACAGCTATTTTCTGAACGACTACAACAGCCTTCTAGTTCGTTATTAGCGTGATTTCGCTTACTGAGTTCGACGCTACAAAAGATGAAACAGATGCTCTACTCAAATAAACATTGATTCAGATGTTAACATAATCAACGTTGCCGGTAGAACAGATGTTACAATCGTTCAAAACAAGGCGAAGTAAACTTGGAAACGAAGCGCCTTCTTATCTCATTCCAAGCACTCCAACGCGTAGCGAATGCTATTGCAGCTGACAAACCTCACTCTTCCTTCCGAGCCTTTGATTTCGCAGGCCTTGGAGGTTTTATTACATAGCTCAGTAGGATCAATGCTATGGGAACAATGGTCCCGATGAAATTCACACTTCCATATGAGGCGAGTGTTTCGTGAAGGCTTAATACCTGTACCATGTGAGACCAACGCATGAGAAACTTTAAAGCATCGGAGGGTGGTATGTGTACATGTACATGTGTGTGTCATGTGTTCATGGTATGTTTGGATGACGTGCTCGTATTAATGTGTCTAAATCACATGTGTTCATGTTCATGTGTGTGTCTAAAAATGGCATGTCTGCATGTGCGAGAGAGAGCGAGAGAGAGCACTAACAATGAAACCAACACAGGAGTAGTTCAGAACCAAGATAGTGTAAGTAAAGTTGATGAACACCAATATCTTCTTAACAACGTCCATAGTTGGAGGTACAGCTTGCTGCCATCTGTAAATCACTGCTTGCGGAAAAGGTAGAAAATGATACAGATTAATTATCTTAAAGAACAAATAATTAGTACATGCTTGCTTATTAAAGCACCTACCCTTCACAGGTAGATAGCAATTTAATGAAACAAAGAAATAACTAGTGAATTAGAAGCAGAAAGACCAATACCTCTTGATCCAGCAATCATCAATGCTGACTGAACAAAGAATATGATGTACCCCGGATAGAGGCCCTGCAGTTTGGAAAATAACCAATACGATACAGATAATTCAAGTTTGAAACGTGCGAAAAATCAAAACATATTCTGGAGATAAGAGAACATAAGGGTTTGAAACAAAAAGTAAGCCGAGTAATTAGTCGAAGAGAAAATGGGCACAAGCATAAATTTTGGGAAATTGGCTTGACGACGCTGAGTGGTGGATGATAAGAAATTATTACGTTAATATTACAAGTACCCTTCCACCCAAAAAAATATCATTTCACTTTAGCAATTTGAACACAAATGAGCACCAAACCAAACATTGGCACAACTAAAAAACTATAGGAACACATGAAATAACACAAAAAGCGTAATTACATTTAAAATAACACAAGTCACAGAGTTCTTTTCGGAGCCAAAAGTGGTGACATGAAAATACAAAACTGGAGGGCATGTTGTTACCCCATCCCCACCCCACCAAATTCTACCCAGCCACCTATTTTTCGCCTTGTATTTGTTAAAGGCACAAAACTTAAACAAAAAATGTAAGCGTAAAATGCATTAAGCAATGTAAGTTACCTAAAGATTGAAATTTGCCACATAATGATTAGATTGAAACCTAAGAATTAAAAGTGACTAAATGCGAAAATATCATTTGTCCAATCTGATAGTATAAATAGTTAATACTTTTTTATGAGAAGAAAATAAAAAGTTAATACTAAGTAAAACTATAAAAATGTGTGGGACGGGGGGGGCTCAAAATCCATCACAATATCACATCCTTTCCCCATCTTGCATCGAGTTTTAATTTTAAATCCAATTGCTACTCAATACTCTACTACAGGCACTATTCTAAAAATTTCTACCTAGGCGCTAGGCGGCTGGCCACTGCCCCGATTAATGCCTAGGCGTTTGAAAATTAAGAAAGGGTGCCTAGACCTGCTGAGGCGCCCGCCTAGACTGCCTAGGCACCCGCGTAGCCCGCCCAGACCCGCCTAGGTTGCAACTCACTTAGATAGAAAATAGATAACTTTCCTTTTGCATTTTATTGTTTCCAATAAATTGTATGAGCTTATTGAACACTTAAATAAACACACACTATATGTTTGCTCCCCATGTTTTCATTATGTTCTAATACTTCATAATATATATAACATTTTATTTTCTAGTTTATGATGAAATTATATATATTTTAAGTACAAACAGACACTTATTTACACGAAATACAATAGATTTACTTAAATCTGCCTAGTCCACCTAGGCGCTAGGCCCCAGCCCGCCGCCCGACTAGCGCCTAGCATCTTTTAGAACCTTGGCTATAGGAAGAGAAAATCATCCTCTTGGTGCCCTATAACATTCAGTCCCAGCATCCCCATTAGAGAAAGAACACTACAGTGTAACAAAGTCCACACATCATAGCTACACGAGGAAATTGTTTATATGACATTTTGAAGAGAACTGTGAACTGGTTAATTATCTGGTAGTAGTTGACCGCTTTTCCTTATTTTTTTTTTTTCTCAGTTTTTTTTTTCAAGTATAAAAGATGGACAGCCAAATCCACTCCGCAGAATGAATGCCAATAGATCCTCTAAGAGAAGCAGAGAACCTATGAAAGCATTTGTAGCAGAGCTATTGTTTGAAGAAACAAAATCTAAAATGGACATAAAATCAGCAAAAGATAAAAACACACATTCAGGATGAGGGTAAGACGGTTTACACTCACATGCCAAACAGCGCTGACGGTCTGTGTAGCCAGCAACTGGAAGAAACCAGCCTTCTTGCTGGGTTTAACAAGCCTTTCATACACATCTACAGAAGAATAATATATTAGATAATTGAACAGTGAATAGTCATCTTTTGTTTCATGTTCATAATATACTAATAATTTAGAAAAATTTCAGCCATTAAATGCAACA